CATAAAAGGCTATGAGGTTGGTCAAGCACGATCTCCCCTTGTTGAAGCCATGTTGACTGCCCCTAATGACCCTCTTATCCTTGATATGCCTTGAGATGGCACCAAGGATAAGGTGCCTCATCCTGTGTCTTGCTATACAAGTCCCTGAGCTAGTGGCTTGACTTCACAGCTGCTGTTTTAGAAGAATACTTGCTGCCTGTCTACTTGCTTATTTGAAATACATACAGTAGACCTGTAGGATTTAGATTTAAGCCTCTGTGGTGATAAATCAGAAATGTACCTTGGATTAAGAGTCTGAAAACCTATATTTAAGATATCAGTGAAATAAAGCAAAATTTCAATCTGTCTTGCTCTCAGCAGTATCCATATCATTTTTCTTAACTATTGTTGTTGGATTTGTTTGTTTTATGACTCCACCACCTATGTAAAACTAGAAATCCTTTGAAATTTCTTATATTCTAGGTATACTTAGGTGGGGAATACGAAGACTCTTTCTGCAAGTGTTGCTTAGGCAATGCCTGAGTATGGGGCTGAAAATCTCAGCAGCTGTTAGTAATTTTGGCTGGGTTATGCCCCCACTGGCAGGGGAAGGATAGAGACCGCAAGGGAAACAGTGCATTAGTAGACAGCATATGGCAAAGCAGTGCTGTATCATTCCTCCAAGTCCAGATGGTGAGCTCGTATTTTTAGAAGGAACTAGAAGAAAAAAAAAGAAAAAAAGCTGACTTTTTTTTTGGTAGATGGAAGGAACTTCATACATTCCAAATCAGGCTGCTAAGTCATTCCTTCAGATGAGATTTATATGGTGCAATTATTTAAGCTATGGCCCAACAACCACGTAATGCTAGTCCAGAATATTTTACGTGAAGCTGGCTGAGGTGCAGCATGGACTAAATCCTTGTGCCATTCTTAGACTCCTGGTACTGATACATGCAGATGCACCGAACTAGGAGGGTTTATTTGCTCACCATAGTTAAGTACTAGGTGATAGACCTGGAGAGGAGCCACGGTCAGCGCAGAGGCTTGTTATCCTGAGAAATGTTAGAGGGAAATACAATTTCTCTCTTCCAAGTTGAAATTCAGCTTTGTAACAGCTGATGTATTAGTTTAGGCTCAAAGACTGAATAATTATTTCTTAGGGGCAGGTGTGGGCCTTGCTTAGCTTTTCATAGCTGTGTAAAATTTGACTCGTAATAAAAGAAGATTGATGAAAGCTATTTGCTTCTCCTTTCCTTCTGGGATGAGCACTGAGAAAAAGTGTGGATAAAGAAGCAGGTGCTGGTGATGCAGAGGTGTTGGTGCACTGCTTTAACCTGCACTGGTTGGGGTTGATACTTTGGAAAGCAAATCTATGAGGGGAGAAACTGGGGCGATCTGTAGTGCCATGCTGTGTCCCAGGCTTTTGTATCTCAACTCTAGGGAATACCAGCAGAACTTCTGTGGAAAACATCTCTGATGTGAGCTTTGGGAGCTATTCACCACCACACAACCCACTGGTGCTATAGAGCCTGTCATGGTAACCTGTGCATGTGCATTTCTGGTGGGGTCGTAGATTGAGAGCTCTTAGTTTCTAGAGAGTCCTCTGTACTCTCTAAGTGTCCTCCGGCATGGTAGTGTCTAGTCATCATTTGTGTCCTCACCATGTAACTTAATTATCTTAAACACTGACAAATTCAGCAGAACAGTTGTTTTTCCTGCTTCACCCGACTGTGCAAGCCTGGGGTCTTTATCACCCACCTCCTTTTTAACCTGAGGAAAATGAGAAACTGTTTGTGTATGTTGGCTTAGTGACTTGCTGACTCTTGCTTGTTGCAGGGCCGAAGAACTTTCTGTATGGCTCTAGGTCCAGTTTTAGAAGGAATGAAGTTGCTGTCTGTAACAGAAGAGATGGGAAGCAGAACGAGCAGCTCCTACTGCTGAAGGGAACTGATAGCCTCTGGGATTTTATAACGGTGTTCTGAGTATCACTCTTTTTCAAATGCTGTGTAGTAGAGTATTACAACTTGCTGTGCTGGTACTGAGTGTGGCTTATGGACCAGAGCTACTTTTCCTTTAGGGTAACAAAGGGGGTGGTTTGGAAGCAGATGGAACAGCAGCTGAAACGCTGTGTCTTTACATTATGGCATCAGGCCTTCAGAAACAATAAAACCCACTCCTGCAAAGTTGGGAGGGAATGAGTGGTGACTGTGTAGTGAGCGTCCATCTGCCTCTTGTGACTGCTATGGAGGGTCACTTTCTTATGTCAAAGGTAGCTAATGACAGAGTGAGTCAGAGTCAGTCTTCTTTACTGACAGGTAAATTAAAAATTGTCTGCATTGCCCATTTCATGGCTCCTGGATTTCTCAGGTACTTGAGTTGTGGGGAAATTAACTCCTTATTTTTATCCTGTTTGGAGCCTTGAGGGAGAGCAGTTGCCGATACTTTTCTACCATCTGAAATACTGAACTTGTAAATTCAAATTTTTGAACATGGATTTCAGTCAATTGCTCCATCCCCAAAGCCCTTGTTTTGAGTTCACATGTGCTATAAATCTGAACACTGGCACACTGCTTTTAATTCCAGAGGCACTTGGGACACTCCTGCTCAGTGTTGCAAAAGTTTCACTCATCACTGACTTGCAATGTATTTGCAATGCTACCCTGCAACGCAGTGACAATGTTGTGGATTTTATGTGTCAGAAATATTTGGGGATGGCTGTGGAACAAGGAAATATCTAGCAGAGTCATCAGTGGCATCTACCGTACTTTTGGGAGGCAGCGAACTGTCTGGGGTCCTTCACCTTAGTGCTCTTCTGGCTTGGTGTGGATTGACCTCTTTGAAGTGACAAGTGAGGAATAATGCACACTTAAAAATGTTTGTTTTCTCTGAAAGTAGGTAGGAAAGAGATTGCTTCCCAGAAGTTTTTGTAATACCTTAAAAAAACCCTACTTGACAAAAAACCACAACAGAACAAACCAACAGTGATGCAGAAACCTAGTGACTTGACAGACAGGTCTATCTTACGTGCTACTTTTGAATGGAAAGTGTGCATGGCTGTGCTGTCAGGCAAGGCATGGTCCTTGTGCAGTGTTGAAGCCACCACAGTTGCCTGACTTTCAGTTCACAGCCTGAAACAGTCAGGTACTGGGATATTCTCCTTTTTTTCACTTCTGGTGTTACCTGAATTTTACATCACTCAGAGGTGAATAAACCACATTTTTTTAAAAACCATTTTAAGATGGCCAGAGAAGTAATGAGATCGGAATTCTGATTTAAAATATTTCAGCTATTTTCCAGAGTTCAGAGTTTATTTTGGTAGGGATCACTGCAGAAAGTGGGATGTTGATTTATGAGCTTTGTTCAGTTAAGCCTCTCAATGCGCGTATGAGGGTGCCATATGCTATTCTACGAATGACACATCAAGGCATGTAAATTTTTAGTAACTTTCAGATACTACAGTGACTTAATGTTACTACCTGATTTGGAATTTGCATGTATAATGGATATAGTAAATCTGTTACATCCTGTGTTTCGCTCTTTTCTTCCTGAAGAGAGAGCCATCACTTTACATTTAGTAACCACTGTAATGGCTGCATGTAATTAAACCTGTCCTAACTGTGAAATATGTAAAGCTTGTTAAAATTTCAGGATATTGTTAGTTGGCTTTTTGTTTATTCCTTTGGTTTTTTTTTTGCATATCTAGAAATGGGACATCCAAGAGAAGATTGACTTTGAAATCCGCATGCAGGAAGGCATCTGTAAACTCCTTGCAGTGAGCACACAAAAAGACCAACGCTTGAAAGCGGTTAAGAACCTGATGGTTTGCAATGCTCATATATGTGCATACAGGACAGAGCTACAGAGCCAGAAAGAAGAGCTGGTCTTGTGCAAAACCGAAGAACAGTGAGTAACAAATTCAAATGGAGCACTATGAAGCAGGCTTTTACGTGAATTCTTATCAGCCTGTTTAGGAGAGTGAATTTAAACCCTTCTTTCTGTCTTCCGCTATACAAACATACATTACTGCTGCCTGAAGACACTATAAGACCATTCCAATATCTTCTTTTTACTTTAGAAAATTGAATACAAGTCATATTTTTCTGGGTAGATATTATTATTGGCATTAAACTATAATTCAGCATCTGAGTATCAGGTAACATAATAGACATAATTTTTCAATTATCTTTAGCATGCAAAAAGATACCTAACCAAGTCTGAAGGATCAAAATAAAACTATCAACGTCAGAATGCACCTATTTCTACTTCTTGTTCTTTCTGTTTGTATTAAGGGCCCTTTAATGAGGGAATCATCATGGTTAATTGGTACCCTCTGCTGGCCACTTCTGTTAACTACAGCAAAGTAATAAATGGAACAGTAAATACGAAGCAAAATCAGTTTAGATGAAAATATTTTCACATTACAGCTCTTGAATGAGCTAATGTATATGTGGTTCATTTGGATAATGTTATATTTTTTTGCCTAATGGAATGTGTTTTGGGTGCAGTGTTGAAAATCATGGTGGAGAGACAGGTTATTATTATCTTTCTCAGGTTATTATTTTAATGAAATATTATATTGCAATTTAGCATAGAAACTCTTTGAGTACATGCTTATTTCCAGTTAATTGTATCTATAAGAACAGCCTTGCTACTTTTTGATTTCAGAAATGTGATCTTATAGGAGAAATGTTTTGATGGAAAGAACTGCATTTTCTGACTATATCGACTATTATTGTGAAAGCTGATTTTGAAAACTAGCACTTAGAACTTGTTGTATTCTGTAATTGCAGTTCTATTGCTTTTTCCTACTAAGATGAAGACTTTTATTGTGATTCATCATTTATTTATGTTTTTAACGATGGACTAATATCAAGTATGTCTATGTGCTGATTTACTCAGCTCCTGCTCTTTGATGTCAGTGACCACAGAATGTTAACAGCACATGTCCAGACCAGGGCAGAGGTATCTGGAGATGTACCTGACCAGCTGTATTGTTTTCTTGTCATAGTCAGCCGTGTTGTTTACGTGATTTGTGTCTGTCGTGCATTGCTTATGGGGTCCTTTGAATTGTCAGTGGAGGGCATTAGAAGAGATGCATGCTACAGAGTAATTTCTCTACCATTTAGACCATATCTTTACTAGCTGGTAGGGCATTTTCAGTTCTTTTTTCAGTATTTCTTCAAGATGAATTTGGTTAAAGCTTAATCCAAGTAAGATAATGTTGGTTGAGAGAGAAAATTCTGGGGTTTTCAAGTGAATTTTGTCCCTCTTTCTTGTTACGTGGGCCTCTAATCTGTGAGTTCTGAAGATATTATAACTGCCTCTGAAAGTCAGGATATTGGCAGCAGCTAGAAATTTTCATTTCGCCTTATTTGGTTAGGAGTTAGGAACTGTCGCAGTTATTAGGAGAGCACTCTATCGTTACTCTTTATCTACAGATTGTTTTCATTCAATTCAAGGTTGACCTTGAGACCCACACTCCGGCTATTTAGCTAAATGTCTGCCTGCATGTAAAACCAAACCATCAACAATGCAAAATTTTGTAATTGTTCTCCATTAACAGAGGAGGAGGTGATTCTCTAACCAATAATAGAACTGATAAATTAAGTTGTTTATTCATTGATGTGTACAGAAGGGGAAAAGTTGATAATGTATTTGATTCTGTTGGAGCTGGAAAAGACGAGCAAGATCAATCTACTTGCCTTTTAATACCCATTTTAAATAAGCTTCGGAGTAAAATCTTCTAGGGAATTAAGAAAATTGATGGTGTACCTTCCTTCCAGATTATCCTCAAGAATCTAATGACTCATATCTTAAACCAGAGGTACCAAATTTAACTTTAAAGAACAGCATTTGAAATGAGCTATGAGAACCCTGACGCTTTTTAATGTTTAAAGGGTTGAATTCTAGAAGTCTAAATGCACGGATCTGAAACCTCATTTTTCCTTTCTTCTTTTTTTGGCAGGCCTTCAGAAACTGGGACAAAAGAGCAGGTGGCATGCAAAGCAAAGGTTGCTATATCAGGTAAGCAGCTGGGTAGTGACTTAATTATAAGAACTATTTGGCTGGACAGTAACTTGTAATACAAATTATACAAACAGGATGGTATTTTTAAAGTATGTATGGCGTTCATGTGGGGCACGAATCCTCTTGGGCTTCAAGTGGAGTGGTGCTTTTAAGTCACACACATGCTTTTGAAGATCCTACCTAGTATTTCCATTTTACTTTCAGAGACTTTCACAGTTGGAAATACTTTTTACTGTTTGTCACTAAACACTGAATAAATTTCAAAGCTAAATAAGAGTAAATGTGCTGATAACTTTTTTTTCCCTCCCCACAAAGAAATAGAATATTCTGTGAAAGACAAACTTTGATGTGATCATACAGGGTATGTCTAACAAATTGAGAGCAGAATTATAAGTAGTATGCAAATGTTATTTTGCTAATGCAGATTACGTTACTACAGCAAAGGTGTAGTGGTATGGCTTCAATGCAAACTAGTGACAAGAATATTTAACAGTGATTTCCAGTAGGCTGGCACACTGCTTCCTAGCCTTTTCTCAAGCTTCAGCACTATGAATTTATCATTTTGTTTGCCTGTGTCAATAGTGGATGTTGCTATGTTCAGCATTCCTGTACCTGTTCATTGTGGCCGTTCTGCCAGTTTTGCTAACAGATGTGTTTGTGCTCCCTGACCTGCTTCGTTAAAAAAAATAGTGTAGAAGGGCTTACTCCTTGAACTGTTTAAGTTAATTCTGCATATTTTGACATATCTTTATGCAAGGTAACTTCTAGTAGAAGAGTGATGAGCACATGGTTCAATAATGTTTTCTGCCAGCACAGCTGTTTGCAGAATGTGTATCTGTCTTTCCCCCTTATGGTAGTTGGATGAAAGCATCTGTTTGCCTGTCTGTGCTATGGTTGCACCTTTGGAATTATAGTTATCTGCAGTGAAGACTTTAGGATCATATAATACACTTTTGTTATCTTTTAGAAAATCAGAATTCTGTAAGAACTCTATTTTTCGTATGAAAAATTAGTTTAGAATATGAAACATGTAGCTAGTTTCTTTTGATGAGACAAGAGAATAGAAGAGAGAAATACACCACTCCCTATTATGTGCCATCTGTTAATGATTCGGTCCTGTTACTGACACAATGGTTCTCAAACCAGAGGTTATGATCCTCAGAAGCATGGCATAGACTGAGCTGAAGAGGAGAGAGTCATCAACTACTTCACTGTGAACCCAAGTGCTGGGATGCTGCCATGCCTCACCCCTCTTCAGATACCTGTATCAGGAAGCATAGCCAGGTCCAGTTTACAGCAGGAAAGCCTAAATGATGTTCTTGGCCTTTGCTGACAGATTTATGCTTTCTATAGATCATCTATTATTAACTCCTTATTTTCCACTGTGTGTGCCTGAGAAGCGGAGAACTGGGGTGCATGAGAAGTAATTATGGGAATAGGCTTGTTAATGCTTGGCAAGGGCAGGAGCCTCTGGGCAAGATAGGTGACTGGGAGATCCTGAGATGATGGTAATACGTGCCTCCCTGGTTCCTCCTCGTGTTGTCCTCTGACCTGTTACCCTGTGTCCGTCTAGCATGCCGTATTAGGGTCTGTCTACTTCCACAGCTGCAGTACATTCACATCTGTAATGTCCCAGTATTCTTCTTTCCCTGTCTTTCCCAGTCCTTGTGTAGTTCACGTAATATAACAGGGCCTGTAATTTAAAACTTGAAGATACAGAATGGATTTTTTTAGGGGAACGTAATCCATCCACTTATATTAGTGTATTATATGGTTAGTACATGCTAGAAACTTAGACTATTACCAAAAAAACCCAGGTGAGATCATGTGCCCAACACCAAAAGTTCAGGAACAGCTATGCAAGAATATGGAGGAATGTACTCCTACAGAAAGCAACTGTGTCAAATACTGTGTGGGGAGTGCAGTCCTTAATGCACAGATTTTTCACACTTCTATTATTTCTACTTATTTATCCCCTACATGTGTGAATAAATTATGTCATTTATGTTGTCTTATCAATTATTTTGTCAGAAGACAGTACATTAAATGTTGATCGAAAAGCGTAATAATTTTAAGTAATTTTCTGAAGGAATCATTGGCTTTATATCTGATTAATTGTAGCAGTTGAATGTATCCAATTTGAATCCACGCGGATTTACAGCTAATGGTAACTGAAATTAAGGTGTGTGAAAATTGATCTTTCTTTTTGATAAATTGCAGCTCCTTCAACCTAAGAATGAACTGAAAACGGATTTACAAGTATCATGTTAAACTTGTTCAAGCGATTGACTATCTAAATCCTGATGGTTTTCTGACTAAGGTGTAAATTTTTCAGCTAGCATGATAATGAAAGTGGCATAGAGGAGTAATCTTTAATCTAGTACTCTAGTTGTTAACAAGACCTATTGAGTACATTAAAATTGTCATTCAGAGTTTGCTATGATTAGAGATGAAAAACGTCTTTTTATTATAACTATATTCACATATTTATGTAAATTTAAGACCTTTGTCTTAGGAAAAAAACATTCAGTGCTTTGTCTCTGACAGATTAAAAAATGTATTTTTTTTGAAGTTTGAGGCTTCTGTATCTGTTTTAATGAAACTATTTCTGTTTCCTTATTTTAAAAATACCCAGCTATTTTTAGAAATGCTTACTATGCAAACTCATCTTTAGAAGTGAAAGGCAGTTTCAGAACATGGTGACATTGATTTTTAGGAAGTTGTGACAGTCTAAAGCTGTATACTGGCAGTTCACTGTTGAAAATCCGTTAGTTTTTGTGAAAACTTAAAAACAGATGATTTTGCAAGTTTCAAAATTGAAATAGCATGTATAATATGATAAACTAATAGATATAATTAACTAATTTTCGTTTTTTAAATTTAATATAGCTTTCAAAACAGAGTGACTATATACAGTTTCACTTAAATCAGTAAGAAGTTTTGTGGGTAAAACCTTGTTGGAATACGTGACAGTCTCTTGCCAAAATGCCACGACTGGTTTGCACCTTAGCATACTGTAAGTGGATTTTTCCATCGACCTCATGTGAAGATCAACACTGGAGTCAGCAATGCTCCTTTATAACAATATTGAAGACTTTTATCAAGAGACATTGAGCTAGTGCTGTTCACTGCTGCCATCATGTGTCACTTAATATATTGCATATACTTTGAAACGCTATGTTGTACTTAAGAAACCAACTTTGGATTCTTTATGCCCTCGCTGCATTTGTCTTTTAACAAGGGACTGATAAAAAACGTTATGTCTAAACTTGAGTCCTTGAAACTGGAGGAAAATGTCACTCACTACTGTGTTGGATTGAGTAGGTAAACTGGAAAATTTTTTGAACAAAATACTCTAATACTAAAATGATAGTCATGTCTTAAAATAATGGTTCTGTAATTGCCTCTCTACTATGGCTCTGATGTAGAAGGATATTTCTGAGTTTAAAAAAAAAATATTTCTGAACTTTATGCCAAGACTATTCTAACTGGGAATGTGATTGCAAGTGCTATTTTCTCTGTGGTTAGCAAAACAAAACTTCAGTATTTGCAGTGTAAGTATCTCAGTTATTTCCATTAAAACAGGAAGTTTTTCTTCTTGCAGTTGGATAAGTGGTTTCCAGCACAGGGCAAGCAGTTTCAGTTTACATCTGTGCATAGTAATGGACTCAGAACCTCTGAGTTCTGGGAATACTTCTCAGACTATGTTACACAGCCACTCTGAAATGCTCTTTCAGGTAGTTTCAAATGAGAATTAAACTATTCTTTATCCTAGCATAATTTATAAAAGAAAATGACACTTCAGATTGAACCAATTGATTAATTTTCTTTTGACATGGATAATAAAATTGAAATAGTTGTGCTGTTATGTTTAGTTAGAAGGTCCAGTTACCTCCAGAACACCAGGAAAAGAAACAAGAAACTTTTTTTGCCATTTTTTTTGCCATCACAGATCTACAGTGTTTGCTATAACTTAATTTCCCTACTTTTTTCTTCTCTTTAGATATTCGAATACCATTAATGTGGAAACACTCTGATCACTTCAGCAATAAAGAAAGTATGTAAGATATAATTTACTACTGTGATAAGCAATTGCTTATGCCTTTAAATTTAAACTGCATAAGGAAATCCATACTCATTTCAACCACTTCTTTAACCTTTCAGTAGGGCCATGTTTTACTCTGTTGCGTAGTTGCTGTTGACCTGAAATTGTTGGTTGTAGTAAGTAGAGTCCAAAGTCCTGTGGTTCTGTATGTTTAAACCCTAATATGTAAGAAGTCCCTCTGAGGAGAAATTCCAGAGGAAGTAACAAAAAAGTTTTGTTATTAAATGGATAGCTGAGAGACTTCTGCTTAAGCATTTTGTCCTGTGTCTTGTCTACACTTGAGTATATTGAAGACAGTTTCCAGTGAGAAATTTAAATGAAAGTTGTCTGTTGGTGTTGAGTGGATTATTGGATAGTCTTCAAGTACATGTGTTTTGCTGTGTCATGGAGATTAACCCTAAATCTGTTCCATCTGTCACCTGGCATTGATTTCACTTTGATTTTCAATAGGGTCAGAGAGGCTCGGCGTGGCAAAATAGACTAATCCTACATAGTACATTCATAAAATGATACAGGCTTTGGATCATGTATTTGGGGTTTTTTGCTTAAAATTAGTTTTGTTAAATAAGATTGCATCTTTACTAACATTTCTGATGTTGCTAGCACAGACTACCCCTGATTATCAGAAAAAAAACCCAAAAAGCGGAGCAGAGGTAGGCATTTTTCCCCCTGTGAATGTTCTATCTATATAGCAGCTTTGATAGTTCACGTATCATAAAATCCTATGATACAAAATTTATGATGGGAAGAATTTGAGGGTAATTTCTTAGAGGTCTGAATTACCATTTCTTCTACTTTTGTTTACTGGAAGCATTTAGTGTTGTGGTGTGTAATATGGCTAATAACACATTTCTTTGTCTCTCTCTAGAATCACAGCGCTATGCAGTTTTTTGTTTGTTCAGAATGGGAGCTCAAGTTTTTAGTACAGAGGTGGCTATTGTGGATAAAGCAGTAACTGATATCTGTTTTGAAAACGTCACTATATTGTGAGTATAATTTATTTCTCTTGAATGAAGTACAAATATTGCTGTTTTCTTTTGAAAGTGGATATGATTATGAGTAAGATTGGGTGAGATCCACTAAGTTTTTCTGTGGGCAAAGGAATCAGTAGAGGTCCTGTTAATTTCAGTGGATGGTGGATCCCCACCTCTGGAAGGCTGGGTTTTATGTACAGAATGATGCTGGTTGTAGATGTGCTACTTGAACTGGAGTTCTTTAATTTTTTGCCATGCTGAAGCATTTTCTTTTTACATAAAGAGATAAACAAACTCGTACCTCAGGGACAAATTTTAATTAATACTAAAACCTGAAAGCGTTATAGAAGTGTAGGCATGAGTGTTGCACCCAGTGCAATTTTAAGTATTATTCTGTCCAGCAGGCTACAGTCTTTTTTGATGTTCCCTTTAAGTCACAGCTTTAAAACCAGACCTTCTTTTCCACACCTCGTGTTCTGTTACACCTATATGAGCATGTGCTACAACCATAGTCCCTGTAGTTAAAGAATACTAGACAGGAAATTATTCACTTATCTTTAAAAGTAACCTGGAAAATAGTAGAAAGGTGTTCTCATGTACTTTTTGTTGCTTTATAATTTTTAAGAGAGTCCTGAGAGGCACTTATTCTACCCCTCCCCCCCCTCATCCCCCACTCTACTTTTTATATTAGCAATTTGGATTCAGTCTTCTGAGGAAGACTGGCTGGAAAGCTAGAACTACTGAAACCCTTAAATCAAGATCCTGAGAACTGGGTCATTGAAAGACAGTGCGTCTTTAAATCAGACTTCAAACTCTCTTAAACACCTGTTCAAGTTAAGAGTGGAGGCAAAGATTTAAACCTGCTTCTTTAAAGATATGAGACTTGACCATTACAATTTTCTGTGAAAATCTGCAATAAAAGCAGAAAAGGCACTCAAACTTACCTTGTATCCCCCAAGATAAAGAAAGACTTTTTATAAAAGCCTTTGGGTTGGTTTCGTTCTGGGCATGTGTGTAATGATATGATTTGTACCTGAAAGATGAGGTTAGGCTTCTGGTTTGGTGACTAAGCTTGGGAATCAGAGAAACTAAAACAGAGAAAGCATGGGCTGCAGACAGAAGAATGCAGCAGTAGGTATTCAAGTTGTGAATGACAAATTTTGCTGATTGTAAGTGAGATAATTTTTTTTCAGTAACATGAAGGAGATAGAGTGAGACTAAGGTATCTATAAAACAGTTCCATCTGATTTAGAACCATAGATGCAGATAGGTTCTCAATCATGTAATTTTTGCGTAACAGTAGAGGGCAGATTTAAGTGTGTTTGAATGTCTTGCCTGGGTATTTCCATAACATGGGATTTTTTTCAGTTTTTAACCTAAACGGTGAATTTCCTGTTTGCAATTGTTTATGGTTAATTATAACATTCAGCCCATGACTTCAGCGCTAAGTTACTGCTGTGTACTCTAGTCTTTAATTCCGTATCAATGTATGTCTTTGCCCAAATCTGATGGCATTCCTTTCTTTGATTAGAAATATGTTATGATAAATGTATATATAGCAGCAGCAGCATTCCTTGCCTGCATACTCAGTTTATTAACAAATGCTCTGAAATTTTCTCCTTCCCCCATTCAGTGAAGAAGCAAGACCAGATTTCCAGGTGAAGGTTGAAGTGTATAGTTGCTGTGCAGAGGAGTCTTCAAGAAACACTTCTAAGGGACTAGCAAAAAAGCTTAAAACATCCCTCAGCAGATCTGCAGGGAGGAAACGCAAAGCTGCGCTGGAAGAAGACAGCACTGAATCCCTTTTGCCCACTGACCCAGTCATTCAGTAAGCCATATACATTGACATTCTGGTTGTATCATTTTAAAAATAGAAATAAGCCAAATATGTTCTGGGTTTTTTTTTGGAAAATTGCCAAGAAAGCAATTATTTCTGTACTTACCCGAATGAAAAAAAATTTACATTTTAAATAGGAAATGAGTAACTAGGTGTGAATTTCAACCTTGTCACTCAGCCTCGGGGCCTGGGTCTGGTCTTGAAACATACGAGTAGCCTTTATTTTTCTGCTCTACAGCCAGCTAGCTGGTAAATCCACTGTTATTTGCAAACTTTAGAATATTTTTAGTTTGATCTCTGGAGGAAATCAAGCTTGTGTGATCAGTCTGTCTGTCCTTCTACCTCTCCTTCTCCCTTTTCCATTTACTTCCTCCCCATATTTTTTTTGTACCTAGCGAATTTTGCTCGTACTTGATGGACAGGCAGGCATGTCTCAAAGTGACAAGTTGTGTGAAATAAAGAAGTGTGGTACGTGGACAGGAGAGAGCTCTCTTGTGCCCTGTGCCCTAAGGAAGCTGACCAAGCTGGTGGTCGTGCCAGGGGTGCATGCTGTGCACATGGGGGCCATTTCCACTTGCTGGCTTTTCAGGAAAGTTCGGGACTGTCAAAGGCACTCTGCAGTTGTGAGCTGCTTAACAGGAGTCTTCTTAATTGACTGCAGCACAGAACAATTTAAAATGACCTACTGTTTTTCAGTGTTCATAGAAATAGGTGCTGTTCCCAGTAATTTACCTGTTTTGTTTTAAAAATGATCTTAAGTCTTTCATGCATTTTTAATGAAGTTAACTGCCTACTAGTAATTCCCAGCTACTTTAATTTCATTGGGATATAAGCAGGCCAAGTACCTGAATTGTAAATACTAATAACTTAGATTTTTTTGGTTTTTTAAGAAAGCAATTTTTTTTTCAAGGAATTACTTTTTTTTTGGTGACCGAACAGTAAAGAATCAATGCCTAATTCTTGCCAGATGTTGAGTGTTGTCCTAGTCTAGCTCCATATATCTATTTGCCTGGATTTTAAAAGGAAACATTCAAGCATACTCTGTCTTTGTCAAGCTGGTATTGCTGTATACTGATATTACTGCTTCAATCAAAAATACACATCCAAGAGATCTTACTCACAGAGCAAAGCAAATTTTATCACTAACATTCCACCTGATGACAACGTGTCTTTCAGTCTGCATCATCTGAGGTGGCTGTGCTTTCCACAGGCTCCAGTTGGGTGATGATGCACTATCAGTACATACAGTTTGCTTCAGATATAACCACTAGCTTATTTGCTGGCCATACTCACTTGAATATAGATTGCCTGTCTTTTAAGGAAGAAGCGCTGATAGACAACCTCAACAGCTGCCTCCTCCCTTGGGTTTTGCTTTTGGTTTCTCAATTGTAATTGTATTTTGCTTTCTTCCATCTTGAAGTTTGTTGTTTCTACTGTCAATAATCATCTCACAGAAACTCTTACTTTCATATCAGAGTTAAATGAACAGTGATGTGTTAAATGATGGCTTTGCTTGGTGATTAGAAAAAGATTCTTGGAAATAATTGGGTTATTGTAGGCAGAAGATAAGTTGTCAATTTTCTTTTATAGACTTCCCTTAGGATTTATATTAGTAAGACCTTGGTATGTAGCCCTTACAAAGGGGAAGAGATTGCAAGATTACAAGAGATCTTTCAAGTATTCCCAGAGTATTTTACCAGTCCAGCAAGTGAAATTAAACTGCAACAAAAAAGGGAGCTTTCAGTATTACGTGAACACCTTTTCTCTGTAGATTTCATTTGTACAGGCCTTTTTCTTGTCAGAGCACACATGGGCAATTTTTTTCCCAGAAACTGTAATTCCTCTGTGCCAAACTTCTTGGGTTAGAAATCTCCCTGGTTAGAGAGGAAACTGCCAGCCTTGTACCTTCTTGCAAAAGCTGAGTCACAAAGTGCTTTGAATGGTTGCTTAGGTTAACTTCAGCTATACTGATACTCTCTCTACTCTTAATTATCTCTCTTTTCATTTCTATACAATTTTCTCCCTGCTTAATTTTTCTGTTCTAGCTTTAATTTTTTATTACTTTTTACATTGGTTGTAGAAAGGATTTTTTTTACTGCAGTTATACTGTTGAATTCCAGAGTAACTGGGTTGCTCTTTGGATAAATCGTTGGAGAGACTTCCTGAAGTGCATGTTTATTCACTCGCAGAGCTGACCTACGCATGGATGACTTGTTATTGCCTTTTATGTATTGTCCTCCACTGGGCTGGAGGCACTGCTTCAGGATCCTATGTTTGAATTGGCAAATTCATAGTGATATTTTGCTGCAAGTATTTACACTAATCTAATGACCTCACTCTTACAGTTGGGTCCTTTTTAGTACCTGAAGGTTATATTTGTTTTTACCTTCTATTATTTAAGATCTGATTGACAGGTGAGCATATTAGATTTTATTTTATTTTTTAAAAAACTCACAAATCCTCCATCCTGTATATCTGGATAAGTGAACTAGGGCTGGGATTTCTAACAATTAGACTAATATTCAGGAACAGATTCTGGAATCTGAGATCTATTCATTAATATGCATTGAGAGAAGGGGTGATAAAGTTACACCTTCCCACGCCAGTGCCTGTGTGGCAACCTTTGTGCCTCTGTCTCTAGATCAGTAAACAGATTTAACAACGAGCCTTTGCCACAGGCATGTTGTGGAGATGAGCTGGTTTGTGTTTTTTTTTAATAAAGTTATTACATGGAAAAATACTATAGATATGCAAAATACTGAATGAGATGCAGCAGGCAGATTATTCTTTGTTATACAAACTGCCATTTAAGGCCGTTAGCTAATTTGGTGAAATGTAGTCAACAATCCTGATTAGCCAGTTAAATTTGAAAAATATTTGCAGATAAAACTTTTCTAAATGATATTGCAGCTGGCTGAAAGGAATGACTGTTATATTTTAGAACGAAAATGTTACTGTGAAGCATATTTTAAAAGTGAAGTAGCTATTTTTTTTGGCAGGGTTGTTGTGGTAATTAGTCATGCTTTAGAAAAAAAGTAACTTTAAAATCAGCACAGAAGTTTTATCTGTGAGAAGAAACTGAACTTTTTGGTACGGTTTAAATAGAATGGTCATGTATTGCTCAACTGCATGGCGAAACTGAATCTTCTGTTATGGAACAGGGAATATATACAAATGCT